TTATACGATTGTTTCTCCTATGTTCAATTCCTTAGAAAACACTATGAGATATGCAGATGAAGAACAACTTAAGAAAAGTTATTTTTGAAAGTAAACACATTAACTATGGAAGAATATAGTGTCAAACATATAATCAAATAAAAAGGGTAGATGTGAATGATAAGCCAGGAAAGCTGCTTAGCTTTACTTTGCAATATCTATTGATGGAAAAAAAAATAAGAGAACTAGAACTCAATTTCTAACTAAGTACCAATAAAATTTAAAATTTGCATACCATAATTAATTAGTAATTGATTTTGTGGAACACTTAGATAATATATGTGGGGTTACTGGTATGAAAAATTGAATTACCAGAGAAGAATCAATTATCAAAGAAAATAAGGCATTATATAGATCAGTGAATTGTAAAGACAATATTTAATGAGGATGTTATTAAAATTTTGTCTTAGGTTCAAACTACATAGTATCTCATTTTCTGTGTTAGGGAGGAAGTTATAATAAAATTATATTTTTATATTGACAAATTTAAAGTTCTGATAGAATATCAGATGCATCTCTAGTGTCATCAGAAATCAAGTGTGTAATAAAGAAATGTTTAGGTTAAAAATCTGTGCGAAACCATGTTAGTACTTCTGACATTACTTTGAAATAAATAATAGCTAGTAATGATGAAAATATATATTTCACATACTGAATCAAACTTTCTGCAACTTCACCTTTTAATTAAGATTTAATAACATTTCTTATAATGTTCAGGAATTGTTTAAAAAAATGTCTTTACCCACTTAATAGGTTTTAAGTCAGTTGAGGGTATTTGGATCCAGACCTTGGGATATGCCTTCCTATAATTAAAGTAGGAACTATCCACACTAATTCTTTGTGCTTTCACTGCTCCTAAAATCACATACTGAAATTTAAATGCATATTACATATAAAGAAGTCAATTTGGACAGTCTACCTAATCTACCTAAGATCTCTGGATAAGGCAAAGCACTGAAGACACCAACCAGTCACTGGACCTCAAGGGTTGGGCACAGGTGGCGTAAACACTGAAAAGGAGGAGCAGAGGATTTGGGATAATGAAAGTTTCCTATATGTTGCTGCATTGTGGATATTGTTGTTTTGTCTGAAAAAAAATCCAGACTGTACAACACCTATGGTGAAACTATGAACTTTTGTTCATGTAACTTACTGATTTTTGTTAATAATAACGCATCAACTTAGGTTCACTTAATAAATGTTGTACTCTGGAGGGGGAGGTAGTCCCTCTGTGATGACAAGTAACATTTAGCAACCTCTGTTCTTTTCACTCCAGTTTTCTGAAAATAAAGTTTATTTCTCATAAAAAATATTCTGGCACAGTGCATTGCTTTTCAACTCTAACAAAGCTGAGACATCTGGGAAATATGTACTGGGGAAACCAAAGAAACTGGTATGGCTGGGCTTTTGTGCAATTTGCTTGGTAGCATTGGAAGTGAGGTCCAGTAAGTCAATGGCAAAAGTCACAACACAGAGCAGACTGGATTGATCTTTTTATGAAACAATACAATTTTACAGTAAGTACTTACAAGGGAACATTTATGATCATTCTGGAGACATGACATAAAGAGTTAAAAAGCAGTAAACATAATGAGGGAACTACAATTACAAAAACAATTATAGAAATGTTACAGCAAAGGGGAACTGAATCTCAACAGTTACTAACACAAAAGACATCACCACCAGATTTAAATGTATATGTTGAAAAATATACATGAAAAATATATATGTTGAAAAATTCAATCCTCAGCAAGGAAGCTGATACACATGGATCAGCAGACCTGAAATGAAGTGCATAAAAACATTGCTGTAGTTGGAGCACTTTCTTCTGATTTTTGCTATTTTTATTTCCATTTTTCATCTCTGCCAACTTCATGTAGAAATAACTGTTTATTATCTTAACTTGCTTTTCTTTGCCTCCCATTTTCTGAGCAAATGCCACTAACTAACATCATCCACATAGAAATTACATGGCAGCTCACAGATTTTATGAAATTTCATATTCTACACATTTAGAATTTCGATGGTAGTCTGCACCTGGATTGGAGTGTCCATGCTTGGCTCTCTTTTCCCTGTCTCAGCTCAGATTTCTGAAAGTGAATATAATACATTTAGAGACTACATGGGTTTCCTCATTTTTCAGGAAGCTGGAATAACACAGAACAGTCCATGTTTCTTGAGCTTCACCTTTTGACTTATTGGACTCCTGGGAAATAGTGTGAGACAATCTAATACAAGTAAAGAAGGTGAACATCCAATGGCCATTGGTTTAACAACATTTGGCCAGATGCACGCAAGAATGCCATTGGGGATATAATTACTTCAAGTCTTCCAAGACCTATTAATTTTGTGTTGTGCTTGCATTTATATTTTGTTCTTCTGAACCACATTTTCTCAGATAGAAGCATAAAACAGATGAGTCCTTAAATCTAAATATTGAGGTAGTTTTGCTGGATTTTAAAATACTTTTTGTTTCTATTTTATTCTGAGCTAGAATTGTGTTAAATATGGATTGAAAATGTCTGCTTTCCTAATGGATAGATATGCACTTCTTATATCATTGAAGTACTTTATGAACACTTGAAATCTCCCCTTGCAAACTTTGTGCAAGTTTTAGGATGTGCTTAGATTCAAGAATATTTTCAGAGAACCAGTTTGGGTAAACATGAGCCACTACTTTGGAATGCATGCATTTTCTTTTAGATTTTGGCATGAAAGGCAAATTATTAAGAGTATATGAGGTTGAAGTGCATCCAAAAGGAGTTGAGTGGTAAACTAATAATTATTCAAATCTGCTTAAAAAAAAATATTCTTGTCACCTTTGTATGGGATGGGCGTCTCAAACATGTTCTAGATTAATTATATGTTCTTTGAGCAATTCTATAGAAGTTTGCTTAAAATTTGCAACATTTCAGGCAGCATATGATAAAGTGATGATTTTAGAAATGTTCTATCTCTATGTAGTTTTAATTTTTCATAAGCAAAATTAGCTATTAATAACATGGTTAAATACATCTAATGCTTAGTGAACTATTGCAAACTTGTGGTTGTATATATTCCTTCATGTTACTGTTAAAGAGTCCAGTGTATGTTTGAAGATCTCCAATAATGAAGCATTCCTATATTGCAAGACACCTTCCATCCTAAAATAGACTAGTTCCATTTGAATCAACAAGGTAAGTTTATAACATGGTGCATTCACATACATAGAGGAAAAATTGGAATATGTGATTGAAACTGTTATTTAAATATAAGGGCTTCCATTTCTATATAGATATATAACCCAAATACATGCATAATTTCAAGAAATAAAGTAATGGATTATATTTTTTTTTGTCATACAAAAGAAAATAGGTAGTGAACTGCTAAAAATTGGCCTACGATAACCAATCTATCTTCAAGTTAACACGTTTTATTCACTTCCTCTCTGTATCTTTCCCACCCTCCTTCCTTCCACCCTTTCTTCCTTCTTTCCTTCTCTTTTTTATCCTTTAACCTCATGTGTCTTGTATGACAATTTCTGTGGCTTGTGATTGATGCCCTAAAGGAAGAATCACTGTAAAAGGAAATAACTGTTTTGAATTGTATTTGATATTGGACATTCTCTATTAGTTCTTGTATTCCTCATAAATTTCTGAATTCTGTACATATATCTATATTTCATGTAGGAAGTAAAGAAGATATAAAAAGATTAAGCATTAGTTTAGCGTAACAGTGGTCTGATTATTCCACATTCCTCAACATTTCTGACTCATCTATATTGCCATTGTCTAACCACTTCTCAGTGATTGTCCAACTTGTTCATTTTTACCTGTTACCTCAATTCTTCCCTTAATATCACTATGATGTTTTATAATAATTCTACTCCCATTTTCCTCTTCTTAAAGATGAACCATATAGTATGTTTTCCATGATATTGAAAACAAGAACCCTGATATAAGAATTTTCTTTTATTGTCAAACTGAAGGAGAATTATTTAAAATGTTTTAGATAATGCTAGAATACAATGTTGTACTAGCTACTTCATACACGTTCCCCATATAAATACTCCAAAGGGCAAACTGGGACCCCATCATCTTACAGGGTCTATACTACTCAGATGGAGGTGCATATAATTTTTCATTGCTGTTCTCTTGACACCCTTGCATGATCATTGATAGCAAATAATGTCTTTTGTTTTCACATTCATGTGTGTCTTTCAAATTCTGAAGAATTGCTAGTATTTTTAAAATGAGAGATTAAGAAGATTTGTATCATGTAATTAGAAGTCTGTTTATATAATAATTTTCAGCAAATAAATTTATTTTATATAAATAAATGTATGTGAAAATTAACATCAATTCTAAAATATAAACAAAGGCTCTTACCGAGTGCAATAAACAGAAAATAGTTCAATGATCCCCAATTTATGAAATATTTCTATTTTTAAGCTAATGTTAACAGCTGAACATTGATAGAAAATTACTTTTTTTCTGTTGCATATAGGAAGGTAAGATGTTTTATATGATGTTAAAATCAAATATTCTACTTTACTTAGAATCTCACATTATAGTTAAAATCATATCCCCTAGCATACACACCTTAAAATGTCATAACTAGGTCTATATAGCACAGAACTGGAAAATAAACAAAAAATATTTTAAGTTACTTATCCTATATTATGTGAAGTATTAAATTATTTTTATCATTAAAATCATATTTAAAAATTAGACTATTAGTAGTATCAAGTAAAATCTATGATCACTCTTATGATAGCATAAATATCTACAATATATTTATAATACAAATATGTGAAAGCACGTAGTGCAATAAATAAAGCATGATAAATATTAAAACACCACTCACATCAATCTGCATTTTAATAAATCATATTATTGTAACCATGCTGTCACCAAATTTTATGATTTATTTATTTCAGACAAAGAGTTCCTTTGTATATAATGTAGACCAGACTCAAATATATGGAAAGCCAGAGAAACTTCTCAGAATTCATTCTTCTAGGACTTTCTTATGACAAGAATGTGCAAATATTTTGCTTTGCATTTTTCTTACTCTGTTACATTGCCCTCTTGGTTGGAAATCTTGTGATCCTTATCTCCATTCGCTGCAGTCCTCTTTTTGACCAGCCAATGTACTATTTCCTCATCCACTTGTCGACCATGGACATCTGCTATACCTCCACTGTCACACCCAAGTTAATCAGTGACTTGCTGGTGGAGAGAAAGACCATTTCCTATAGCAGCTGCATGTTGCAGATCTTCACCTTGCACTTGTTTGGAGCTGTTGAAGTCTTTATTCTTACCTCCATGGCTTATGATCGCTATGTTGCCATCTGCAAACCTCTCCACTACATGATTATCATGAACAGGACAAGATGTGATCTCCTGGTCTTTGCGGCTTGGGTTGCTGCAGCTGTCCATGCCTTTCCTCTCTTTTTCATGTCAATCATTTTGCCCTTCTGTGGTCCTAATGAAATCGATCACTATTTTTGTGATGTTTTCCCTTTGTTAAAAGTTGCCTGCACTGACACCTACCTCACTGGTGTCATCGTCATTACCTTTTCAGGTGTTATGTCCTTAGTTACTGTTGTTATTTTATTTCTTTCCTATGGCATTATATTATACACTCTAAGAAATCAGTCTGCTGAGGGAAGACGCAAAGCTCTCTCTACCTGTTGGTCTCATATCACTGTGGTCCTCTTATACTTTGCTCCTGTGATCTTCATCTACCTTAGACCTCCTACTACTTACCCTGAGGACAAGATATTTGCTCTGTTTTACACCATTGTTGCTCCTATGTTCAATCCCTTAATCTACACCCTGAGAAATGCAGAGATGAAAAATACCATGAGGAAACTTTGGTGTCAAACATTGATTTCAAAAGAAATAAACAGGTAATTTGAAGAAATTTAATGACTACATATATATAAACATATATATCATATACTATACTATACTGTACTATATTATATATTATGTTATATAGAAGACATATATAATGTATATAATACATATTATATATGTATATACTTGCTTATATATATAATATATGTATTATATATATATTATATATATAAGCAAAATATGTCAGGTGACTTTCATAGATTTTATATTCATATTCTATCCTAAAAGGAATACCTGTTACCTAAAAAAATTAATTGGAGACTAAATTGTTTTGTAGAACATGAAAAATGTGTTAGTGTCTGCATATATATATATATGTGTGTGTGTGTGTGTGTGTGTACATGATTCCATATATATATATATATAGGCTCAATGAAAATAAGACAATTTAATATTAGTCACTAAAGGGAAATTCAGTTGATAATTTTATTAAAACTTTTTACTTAAGTTCTAAACTACATGATGTCATATTCTGTGTAGTGGGAAAGTTGCAATCTAATATTAATAATTAAAATCTGGCAAGGTGTCCATATCCACTAGAGCCATCAGAAATCAGTTATTTAGAGATAATCTGTTTTAAAGAGTCTCAATGTTCATAACTTCTCTTTGAAATAAATAATTACTAGTAAAGAGAGAGTGAAACTATACAACTCAGAAAGCTAAAAATGGAGGGATTGGCATCACATCTGCTGGTCAAAATTTAGTAGCATTTGCATAAAATATAAGGAACTATTTAACAAAATGAAGTGTTCACCCACTCATATTTGACTAAATCAATAGATAAAGTGGTCATCATTGGTTCCAGAAAGACACTTCCTTGTACAAAGAAAAAACTTTCAAAAAAGCAAAGTAAAACATTATGTGGTCTCAAAACAAAGGAAGAAAATAATCCTAAAATTACATTTTGATTGAGCTTGGACGTGTAGGGCAGCTTTATTCATAGTTGCCAAACCTGGGTGATACCATAGCATCCTTCAATAAGTGAATTAATTAATTGTGGTACATCATAACTATGGACTATTATTCAGAGCTGTAAAGAAATGACGTAACAAGCCATGAAGCATAGGCAGGATGGTTTCACCTACGTGAGCATCTGCAAAAGGGGAGACACAGAAACTGAAGTGATGAGAGCTTGCCCAGGGTGCAGGGTGGGGAGCTGTGGGGTGGTGACAGGGCGAGGGAAAAGAGGAAAAATGGGGAAGCTTAGAGAATATTTGGGAGCAATAAAACTATTCTTTACATTACTAAAGTGTTGGACATTGTCATTACAGGAGACAAAACCCATAATTGGCCAAAACCAAGCATGAACGCAAATCTAAACATGAGTTTTTGTAAATAATGCATCAATGTTGGTTCATTATTTTGGTAATAAATGTATCTCTTTGGTATGGGTGTTGCTCTGCCTAGGCAGTGGATTTTTTTTTTCTTGGTACTTTCACTCAATTTTTCTGTATACCTAAAACTAATAAATTTTATTAGTTTACCAAACCAATGAGTTGTACTAGTTACTATTAATCTATTAAACTAATTAACTTCAATAATGTTTATTAGTTAAAATGCATATTGTGTTAAATATATAAAGCAAATTATTTTGTAGGTATAATGAGGAAGAAATATCTGAGAAATATTTTCTGGGGAAAAGCAAAAGATGATGACAGGTTTTTGTGTATGCTTAATAGGATTTAAACTAAAGTCTCCTGAGTTAAATGACAGCACAGAAGACTCTGGATATGTTGATTTATGTAAAGGAAGTTAATTAAAATGTGGAATGAGTTTTAGAATATGTAAATGCAATGAAAGTCACAATCATTCAGAGGGAACTGTAGAGAGGTGAACAACGAAAATATAGTGAGAAAGAAGAATCAAGTCGAATCACTGTTGTTCCTGGAGAGAGAAGTTGAATATCAGCTGTTATTAGTACAAAACAGTTATCACTTGTAAATGTAGCTTTAAAAAATATCACAAAACCAGGGAAATGCATGGGACTATGGTGGTGGCACAGGGGTGATTTGGTGATGGGAAACCCACGGGGATTACAATTGAGATGGAAAAAAAATGTGCAAAATGATGTAAAAATAAACTTTGTAATAAAAAAAAATATCACAAAACCATGTTCAGTCTTGAGGTTGAAGAGGAATATATGGAAAATGACTAGCTTTTGTATAAAAAAATCATGTTTTATGACAGAAAATAATATATTTATTTTCCATTAATGCATGCCAAATTTATTGAAGAAAGGCAAAAGAAAAATGAAAGAGATGCCTGTGTACACACAGGCATGTGAAAAACAGCTGGGGAAAGACATCTTTCACTGAAATCTGAAATAGCATAAAGTCACATGTGATTTCTTGAAAAAAAGTATTAACAAGTCTTCAAACATAACATCTCTATTTATATAAATGTTAACAGTACATATTTATGTAAATGTTAACAGTTCATACTGAGAATGTTCCTTTATGGTATTCACAGTAAGTTAATAATAACAACAAAATGAGTGATGTCTGTAACCCCCCAAATTTAGCATTTATCTCCAAGTAGGGAAATGAGGAAACCCACTGTACTCTTAGCTTTGATAACATGTTTTATGTTTTGATTTGTAAGAATTTGCTTTTGTAGAGCAATTGTAGCTTCATCTAATCGAAAGAAGGTAAAGAGATTTCACATGTAGCTGTGCTTTCACAGAAGCACATCCTGCAGCCATTGTCCATCTCCAAACCCAAAGAGTGACCCATGTGTTACCAATGATGAGCTTACATTGGCACATCATTGTCACACAGTATTGACAGCTAACTTTACGGCTCACTCCCTCACTGGATTTTGTAAGCACTAGGAAAAATTTACCTTGCTATGAATCCACATTGTGGCATAGTACAGTATGTTCACCACCCTAAAATTTGTCTGTGTCCTTCCTATTCATCCTCCTCTCCCTATTTCTTTCTTGGATTCTCACTGAGAAGATACTAATATTCTAATCATCTCTTTACTCAGCATCTTATAAATCATACAAGTAATTTCAACCCTGTGGCTTGGTTCCAATTTCCCAGACAAGTGTCTCTGCTCTGCCCACGTCCAGTCATTTCTCAGCATGTGACTGGATTGTGGGCATACTCTGCCCCTGAATGAGCTAGTCCTGTGCCCCAAGCAGGCAGAAAACCTGCAGCATCATGGCCTGGGAAAGAGGTTGAGCTGGACACAGCAGCATCCACCACGATCTGCACTTTCACTGGTACCACTAGATTTCAGACTTCGATCCTTGATCCCCAAATCATGACAATAACATGCACAGCTCTATCTTTGCTAGTTAAGGCCCTTCTACCTGCCTCCCAAAGAATAGCTTAGTCTTCTCTGATTTTTGACCCAATTTTCTGCCTTCCTTCTGAATCTTCCCAAGCTCATTGTTCCAATTTTCTGCCACACAGTAGGGGTGTCAGTGATCACTATTGAATTACTAGAGTAATAAGCTCAGCCATAGTGCATCGGTGAGGTGTGTGCTTACTCTTGTCAACCCCCAACTTTAGTTATATCTTCCTTTCCTGATGAGGATCCTCTTCAGTTCATGCCTATTCACTGTGCTGATTTCTTTTTCACCCTGCTGATTTCTTTTTCTCTATTAGGGAACAATTTTACATCGTTCAAACAGGAGTCTTTTTTTTTTTAATTTAATTTTTGGACAATATATGATTTCTGCCCTTAGATGTGGTCACTACAACCCTCCCACCTTCAAAGCACCCAAGGCCTATCTCTGTATTACTTGTGCTGCTCCTTCCTCATACTCTGCACTCCCAAACTTTTACCCTCCGGCTTCACTTCTGGTTCAGCTTTCAAAGTTTTTCTTTGAGTCTTTATTGTCCTTCAGTCACTGTTATGTGTCCCTCAATGTTGCTTTTCTCTCTCTGTGCTCCACCATTTTACATTTATAATATTCTGTTGTCATTTACTGCTATTTCTGGGATTTTTGTGTAACCTTAGATCAATAAAGACCTGGATATGTTTATTCACATCTGAAATTCAACTATCAGTGTGTCTGCTAACTTAGTAGGGATGGACATTTCTTTTTATTAATAATAATGGACAGAGGAATAAATGAAAATTATTTTTCCAGAAAATGCATTGTATGTAGAGAGTGATACCTATTCTAAAAAAGAAAGAAAGAAAGAAACTATCCTCAAATCTTAGAAATAAAAATGATGAACAGGCAAATATAATTTAATATAATGAATTTACTTTTATAAGATGATAAAATTTTGTTGAGAGAACAGGATATTAATGTTGATATTGCTCATTCACTGAAATTCTCCTTTTAATTTCTTTTTCACTCTTTAAAGAGGAAACAAATTAATGTTCCTAAAAGGTCTAATTAGAAATTTCTTAGAGTGAATCAGATAAAGGAGGAAAAATATCTCTTCTATTTATTGTTATTTAACACTTCTAAGTTCATTGTGTTATTTTATCTTCTTTAAATCTTCTATTCATGCACTCAGTAATGTCATATGGGGTAACTGTTTAATAAATTGAAATTCTTGTCAGATATGCAAATGTTTTTATTATTTTTCTAACAGGTTAACAGTTTAAGATAGTAACAGGTGTACCAAAATTTTTGAAAATATTGTGTAATCTTATTAGTTACCATCGAAGCTTCAATGACCCATTGCTTTTGTATTCTAAAACAGTGATATTAAAGTGTTGCAAGCCACATATTATCATAAGTTAAGATACATAAAACATATGTAACATATTATCATTAGTTAAGATACATAAAAATGAAAAGTTACTAAAGGAAAAATTTTTAGAATTTAGTTATAATAAACTAACATATAGGAACATGTAGAAATAGATACATATTATGAATGCTCATACCTAGATATACACATATCTGTGTATATTTAATGTGTTTATGTATATATCTTCAATATACATGTATTATATATGTTACATATATAATGCCCAACAAAGCCCTGTTCAATAAATAGCAACTTCATCATATTCTTACATCAATTTCAATCATCATTGTGATTGTGTAAGCTATTATAATATGGGTGAGAAATCAGTCAGTCTCTGGTTACCTGTCCTCAATACACTTTGTTGACAACCCATTTCTGTGAGTTTCCTACTTGCCAAATATGGATTATTATGATGCTTACCTCTGGATTGCTACAGTGATTACTGCTTAAAACCAATATATTATCTTATATGATATTTCATATTTACTCTTGATAAAAGAGCCTATGAATAGTACCCATAGATAAAGAAGGTAAATGAAAGCCCCAATTTATTAGGATATTCTTACTGGCTTAGGTTTCCTCATTTCCTTATAACTGTTTCTACTCCATAAAATTCAGATTCTATTATATGAGCAGTTAATGCTTTTTCTTCCTCTCATAAATATTCATTGATGAAGTCATCCAGAATCTCCTCTTGAATTTCCCTCAGTTGAATCAGTTTCAGTCTCCAAGAACATTTATTTGTCATCTGGAAATGTTTTCCTACTAAACAATTTTCTAAAGGCATTTTTCATCTGGGAATTTCTCATAGTATAGATTAATGGATTTAACATGGGTGTTATCATAGAATAGAACACAGCAACTGCTTTATCAATGGGTAGAGTCATTACAGGTCTCAGGTACACAATTATGCAGGGCACAAAGAACATGATGACCACGGTGATGTGGGAGACACAGGTGGAGAGGGCCTTCTGCCTTGCCTCTGTGGTCTGGTTCTTTAGGGAGTGCAAGATCACCACATAGGAGCCCATCAAGAGGAGGAAGTTCAACAGACAGATAAACCCACTGTTGGCAGCAACAAAGAGTCCTAGCTTGTGGGTGTCCATGCAGGCAAGATTGAGCAAAGGATTCAGATCACACATAAAATGATCTATGACATTAGGTCCACAGTAGGGCAGTCTGAATATGAACAGGATCTGTATGGCTCCATGAAGAAAGCCTCCCACCCACACCACTCCCATTAGCAGGTCACATACCCGTTGATTCATGATGGTCGTATAATGTAAGGGCTTGCAGATGGCCACATAGCGGTCGTAGGCCATTACAGTGAGGAGGATGACCTCAGAGCCTCCTAAGAAATGGTCTGCAAAGACTTGGGTCATGCAGCCATTGAAATGAATTGTCTTCTTTTCACGCATTGAATCTGCAATCAATTTAGGTGTACTCACAGAGGTATAGCAGGCATCAATAAAGGAGAGATATGCCAGGAAAAAGTACATGGGGGATGCTGACAATGAGGTGGCAATGATGGTGACCACGATGAGCATATTTCCTACCACAGAGATGACGTAGATGAGGAAAAACATGACAAATATGATTTTCTGCATTTTTGGATTCTCAGAGAGCCCCAGTAGAACAAATTCTGTAACATTGTTTCCAGTATCCATGTACATTTTATTGTTTAGTATAGCATCTGAATAAAAGAAAACACTTGTTATTATTTAAGCATTGAATCTGTTAAAATTACTCATCCTAATAAAGTTTAAGTGCATGGATCCTATTGGATTTTGGCTTTCATGATGATTTGAACTTTTTAATTAAAAAATGGTTTGCCTAATTTTTGAAGATCACTCAAGTGAAGTATTTGATGAGAGTATAGACATGAGGAACATTTGTTATCAAATAAGTAGATACCATATGTGTACCTGTGACCACCTCAGATAACATGAGACATGAAAGAGTAGATTGTATACAATGTGCTAGGTAACTCAGGAAAGTGATATAAACCTACCAATAGAAAGTTATTAAACTTTTATTCCTAGTTAATAGTAAACAATGGTTTAGAAATTGAGAATATGAATGTAATCATGTAGAGAAATCTAAGAAATGTGAAATCATTAATATAATTCCAGTAAAGGTTTCTGCATATTCCTGAGTGAAGTGGGCTTAAATTCTGGAAGGTAGAGATAGAAGCACTGGTTAGGAGTTTACTTATATAGTTGAAATAAAGAAAAACAGGGCATTGGTGATGGAAATATGATGAAAGCATGTAGGAGCAACTGTAAAAGAAATGATATATATGTATATATATACATATATATGATTATATCATATATATATATCATATATATGATTGTTATGGGCAAAGATAAAATGCCTGTCACATATGATTCAGTACAAGACTGACAAAATCACTGTGACTGGTATCACATCCATTTTGCAAATGTGAAAACCATCTTAGATTTATGTTGAGAGTAATACTCAGACTTACTTATTTTTATTACTTAAAACAATTATTAGTGCACACTATTTTTTTGCAGACACCTGTCGATTTTACTACAAATTTTGACATGTTGACCATACTTATTTATATACTTATTTTAAAATGGAAATACAGAGAAGTTAAACATCCTGCCCAAGATCAAGCAGCTGACCATACGCAGAACCAAGATTATGTCAGAATATTTGTTTAAAATTTTTTTCCTCAATTCTTCCCCCATGCCCAGTTGCTTTAATTAACAACATGGATCTAATCTCCTTTTACATGACCATAATAGTTATAACTACTTTATAACTACTTCAGAGATTAATGCACATGAAGTAATTTCAGAGTAGAAAACATGTCCAAGAAAGCACACACACACACACACACACACACACACGTGTGTGTGTGTTTGGACTCTCAAAAATCAAATCAAATGTGGGATGGCATCATGAAAGTTCCTTTCATCTTGGCTTCTCCCTCTGACCCAGGTATCTCTACTCCATTCCCCCTATACACCATGACATTCTGTTCCTTCTGAAACACTGGTCATGTACTTTGGTTTGAAAAATCACAAGGACCAAATGAAAACTCTACTTTTCTGCTTGCATATTCTTTATATTTGGGGGGGGTACATTAACAACATAGAACATATTTTTATCACTCATATAGAAAACAATATTAATACCTACCTCACAGGATTTTATGAGTACTGATAAGGAAACATATATGAATATATTCGCCACCGCTATGTAAACACATATGGATTTCCATCTGTTCTGTGTGTGTGTCTGTGCACCTATGAGACAGAAAGATTTGATACTTTGATAATATTTAGAAAATGTTAACAAAGCCATGAGGTCAAAAAGAATTAACTTCAATATTATTGTACATGTTCTATATGGGAAGTGTATTTATATATACTTTCATTTAAAGGATAAGTTTTGTTTCACTTTAATGATGAGTTTTGTCAGATTGTCTTGTTGTCAGGAACTGAAACCCATAATTTACTCAATATATATGGCTTTCAAGTTTTTATCTGACAAGTTTTAATATTTCCCAAATATCTTTTGAAGAAATGGGGTGAGGATGAAATGTTCTATCATTGCATTTAAAGAACAATGGAAAATAAGTATTACATATTATATAACACTATTTAATAAGCATCAACACATTGAAAAACTTACCTTTTATTCTTAAATGAAATTAATGATGCTTGGGAATGTTCAGAAACAATTCCAACTTTAAATTGACCTTTTGTTAGTAGATCCAATGTGAAAGAAATATCATACTTTAGACAAGAATATCCAAATATTCAATAGCAAAACAATAGTTGTTATGAAAGTGTGTTTGTAAGTCAAAGCTTTCCTTCTAGACTAAAAGTTCAAAACATTTCCAGAAAAATATTTAGGATTTGAATTTAGAAGGATTTATTTGAAGCACTGTAGAATGGCTGCAGGTGGCTGTGGTCCCAAAGCCAAGAAGAATTAAGTGTGGAGCAAACACATTCTCAAGTGTCATTTAACTCAGGAATAATCTTGCTCTTCAAATTGTGATCAGAAAACATCATGTCCAGCTTGCAGTGTGTGGGTATTTAAAGAGATTCTCACAGAAGTTCTTTCTTAAAGAGAGATGCTTCTTCTCCTCCCAGGAATTAATTATCTCTTTTGATGGGAAGGCTTTTTCTTAGAAGCAGATATTCTCGAGAAACTGCTTGGAGAAACACCCATTTTGAGTGGGGAATCATATAACCTGCCTTGGAACTTGAACACATGAAGCCTCATGGCTCTTTGTGAACCCAGGTTCCTAAGACATCTGACTGTCCTGTGAATAGCTAGGCAACAAAGTTTCAGGATGGGGAACTCTGATATAGCTCCCTGTGTATTCATGTTTGTGTTCTTATCAATGTTAAGCCTTTTCTGGAAGAAAACTCACTGACTGCATAGGAGCTAGAGCTATGAGAGTATGAATTTAATGGGAGCCACTTAAAGTACTTTATTGCAAAAAGATTGTATGTGCATTCATCTGAGGAGTGCAGAAGTAAACAGAAAACTGGGCCCCCTTAATGGTGTGAGGGATTAAGCCGTAGTGCTATGAAACTATCCCCAGCAACTGCTTCATGAGTAGATCCCTGCCAGGGAACTACACACATGGTGTGGCAGATGGCCCTTACTGCATCTACTTTTCCCCTCAACAGTGTATGTCAATTTGCCTATTCTGCTTCCCCCTCTGTCTCTGTTGAATCACTCACTGCTTGCACCTCTAGCCAAATCCCAGTTCTTGTATGTGTAAATAAGTCAATACATTTTTTAAAGAGGTAATCAGAAAACTAGTTTCCCAGGGTTGTCATTGGATTCAGTTTGGACAGTATGAAATAAGAGAGCATTACACTGTGGAGAGCAATATACAACACAAGAAGAGAGTTTCAGGCTTTCCACAACTTTGTCACATTGTATTATTGATGTTTTTCTTTACCAAATTTTGTTTATTGAGGCAAAATAGATTTACATTTTTTATCTGCTCAGGGTTTATAGGTTGAAAACTACAAATGTAAACTCCGATGCCTGCCCTCTGCCAGTGCTCCACAATTCTCCACGATGTCCCTTTGGGTCCCTTCCCTCTTCATTCCCTCCCCCACTTGCCACTGCCAGTTTTGTAAGGTTGTCAGGAGTGTATTGCTGCCTTGTTCTTGAATGACTTTTGTTATATTTTTCTGTATCAAGTGTAGCCACCATATTTAAACTCCTGGTGTCGATTCCTTCATTTCATGTTGCTTAAACTATTATAACTTATGCTGTATTACTTTTAGGTTTCTTTGCTTTCATCTACTCTTTGTCTTACCTTACCCCTAGTTTTCCTAATGTTATTGATGACGGTTTTTTAATGATCATTTTCCTTTGTTACATGTTTGCCTGTAATATTACCTACATTACTTGTAGCCTCATGATTACCTTTTCAGGTATCATGCCCTTAGTTTTCATTGCTGCTTTATTGTCTTCTTGTGGCATTATAATGTCACTCTAAGAAATTAGTTCAGGAGTGAAGACAAAAATCTCTCTCCATCTATTGGTCTCATATCACTGTGGTTGCCTAGTTCTTAGGGTCTGTAATCTTCATCTACCTTAGTCCTCCTAATAAATTCTCTGTTTAGAAAATTTTGCATTTTTTTATCCAATCCATTTCCTAGACATGTGTCCTGCCCATGTCCAGTCCTTTCTGAGCAGGGTAATTGGATTGTGGGCTTAACATTGCCCCTGAATAAGCTACTTGTGTCCTCCAAGAAGAGAAAGACCCTGCAAGTTCCATGGCCTGGAAAAGGGGACTTGAGGAGGACACAGCAGTGTCCACCAAATTCATCATCTTCACTAGCACCACTAGATATCACACTTGCCTCCTTGACCCCCAAATCATGGCAATAACATGCACTGCTCTGCCTTTGTTAGTAAGCCCCGTCTACCTATATCTCAAAGTACTGCTTGGTGCCCTGATTTTTTGATCCAATTTTATATCTTGCTTCTGAGGCTCTTATAAACCTAGCAATCTGCATGCTTATGATACACAGTAGGGGTCAGTAAATCATTTAATTAAAAGCACCAGGCTCAGCATATTGCAAAGATCAGGTGTGCTCTGTCCATTGTCCTGGATTTGGGTTATGTCTTGCTTTCCCAAGGATGCCTGTTCACCCTGCTGATTTCTTTTCCTCTATTGGGCAGCAATTTTAACCTTTCAGAAATGGAGTCATTTTTAAGTTTAATTTTTGAGCAATATATGATTTCTGCCCTTGGGTGTGGTCACCAAAGCCCATCACCCTATCACTTGTGCTGTTCCTCCCTCATTTTCTCCCCTCCACACTTTCCACTCCTGGTTCAGTTTTCAAAGTTTGTCTTTGTCTGAGTCTTTATTGCCCTTCAGTTCATTGTTATATGTCCCTCAATGTTGCTTTTCTTACCTCTCTGTGTTCTACAACTTACATTTATAACACTGTTGTCATTCAAAAATGTCCCTGGGAATCTTTCATTGTATCCTAAGTTCAGTAAATGGAGGACCCAGATTTGGTTATTCACCTCTGAAATGTAACTATCAATGTGTCTGTGACTTCATAGGGGTGAAATTTCTTTTTGGTTAATAACGATGGTCAGAGGTTGAATGAAAATCATTTCTCTAGAAACTAAATACATGTAAGGAGTGATACTTTTCTAAAAAGATTTCACACTAAAATGTTAGAAATGAAAATAAAATTAACAGACAAATATAACCCAGATGACATTCATGAGATGTTAACATTTTCCTGAAAGATCAGAATATCAAGGTCAATATTGTTCATTCACTGAGATTCTCCATTTCAATTCCTTTTCACTCTTCAGTTTAAAAAGAAAACAAGTAAACTGTAGTTCCCTAAAAGGACTTATTACAATTCTCCTCAGAGTCTGAATTAGATAATAGAAGGAAAAGTTCTCCACCATTGCTAATTATTTTCTCAAAATTTTATTGCATTATTTCATCTTTTTTATCCTTTTATGCATTCACCCAGTTGTTATAAAGCAGACATATGCTGTATCATATAAATGGTTGTTAACTAGCAAGTATGCTACAATTATTATCTATATTTAATAAATTGAATGCCTATCTTATATTTAAATGCTTTTATTTTTAAATTTGAATTATTACCCTTTATAATGTGGTAACAGCTGAAGATAAGGACCTGTGTACAAAAACTTCTTGGAAATTTATAGTAAGCTTTTTAGTTACCATCAAAAACTTCAATGACCCATTGCTTTTTTATCCTTAAAATACAGTGTGATACTGTTCCTTCCTGGTGGTGCAACGGGGTAAAACACAGCATTAAGAAGCTAAAGCCACTTCAGCATGAGTTCAATCCCTGCCTGCCCGGGGGGTGACCCACATTGCGCGGCAGACCTCTCCTGACCCGCCCCCTGCTCCTCTCATCAGTGTGCTTCCTCAGTCGGCCTATTCTACTCCCCACTCTGGCTCTGGTGCATCCTCTCACCATTCCTGCTCAGCCTGTTCCCCCAGCTCTGTATGCATAAATAAATAAATCTTTAAAAAAAAAACACAGTATGATACCAAAATGTTACAACCAACATGCTATCATTAAGATACATAAAAACGAACAAAATTACTAATAGAAAATTTCTTAAAATAGTTATAATGAGCTAACATATAGGCACGCAATGTAAATGCACAGAAATACACCTCGTTCTGTGTGAACATAATATGTGTGTGTGTATATACATGCTTATATTATACATACATATATACAATGTTCAATGAAGCCCTATTCAATAAATAGCACCTAATCATTTCTTACCTTTCAATCATCACTGTGTGACCTTGAAAGCTGTTATTATATGGAGGAGAAATCAGTCTTCCTCTGGTTATCCATCCTCAATATACTTGCTTTGTGGACTAATCATTTTTTGTCAGTTTCCTCACTTGCCAAATATGGATAATTATGGTGCCTAACTCTTCGGACTGTTACAGCAATTACTGCTTAAAACCAACATATTTTATTATTTTTCATACTTAGTTTTGGTAGAAAAATCTATGAATAATACACATCAATACAGAAGGTAAATGAAAGCCTCAGTGCATTAAGAAATTCTGAATATTCAAAGGAGAATCCTGGCTTATGTTTTCTCATTTACTTAAACCTGCTTCTACTCCATAAAATATGGAAATTATCATGAAAGCAGTTATTTATTTTTCTTCCCATGAGTATTTATTGATGAAGTTATACAAAATGTCCTATTGACCCTTTTCTCATTTGAATCAGTGTCAGTCGTCAGGCCCGTTTATTTATCACCTGGAAAAGTTTTCCTACTACACAACTTTCTAAAGGCATTTTTCATCTGGGCATTTCTCAAGCTGTAGATTAAGGGATTTAACATGGGAGTTATCATCGTGTAGAACACAGCAACAGCTTTATCAATAGGTAAAGTAACAGCAGGTCTTAGGTACATAAATGTGCAGGGCACAAAGAACAAGACGACTACCGTGATGTGGGAGACGCAGGTGGAGAGGGCTTTCTGCCTTGCCTCTGCAGTCTGGTTCTTCAGAGAGTGCAAAATCACCACATAGGAGCCCATCAACAGGAGGAAGTTCAACACACAGATGAACCCACTGTTGGCGGCAACAAAGAGCCCTAGAGTGTGAGTATCCATACAGGCCAGGTTGAGCAAAGGATTCAGGTCACACATAAAGTGATCTATGACATTAGGACCACAGAAGGGCAGTGGCAAGATGAAGAGGATCTGTATGGTGGCATGAAGAAAGCCTCCCACCCATACCACACCCATAAGCAGGTCACATACCCTTCGATTCATGATGGTCGCATAGTGTAAGGGCTTGCAGATGGCCACATAGCGGTCGTAGGCCATCACAGTGAGGAGGATGACCTCAGCACCTCCGATGAAATGTTCCCCAAAGACTTGGGCCATGCAGCCATTGAATAGGATTGTCTTCTTTTCACGGAGTGAATCTGCAATCAGCTTAGGAGTATTGACAGAGGCATAGCAGGCATCAATAAAGGAGAGATAGGCCAGGAAATAGTACATGGGGGATGCAGACAATGAGGTGGCAATGATGGTGACCACGATGAGCAAATTTCCTACCACAGAGATGACATAGATGAGGAAAAACACAACAAATATGATTTTCTGCATCTGTGGATTCTCTGAGAGCCCCAGTAGAACAAATTCTGTAACATTGTTTCTAGTCTCCATATATATCCTATTGAATTTTACAGTACCTGAAAAATATCACTTTTTATTAATGAGATACTGCATCTGTTAAACTTATTCATTCTAATAAAAGTTCAATTCCTGGATCTCGTGAAGGCTGATTTTTATGAGGTTTTTTTTTTTTTGATAATTAAAAAGTAAATCATTCCTCTAGCTTTTGACAAAGACTCAAGTTGCCTCCCAGTTGAAGTTTTTGATGAGTATAGTCATGAAGCATATTTATAAACCAAAAGATAGGATGTTGTATGTGTATGTGGACATCTGAGATAATTGGCTGGAATGAAAGAGTGTTTGCATACATAGTGACCATTAAGTCAGGAAAAGGATGTAGAAATAGAAGACCATAGGCAGAAATGGAGAATATGGGGGTGGGGGTACATGCAGAGAAATTTAAGGAAGGGGAAATCATGGCTATAACTTCCCCAAAAGTCTGCATAATCCTGAGTGTAGTGGGTTTAAATTCAGGAAGGCAGAGATAGAAACACCAGTTAGGAGGTTACTTATAATAGTTGTTTTAAGGAGATCGTGGGCATTGGCAATGAAAATATGATGAAATAATATCGGAGTTTCTATGAAAGAATTGATAATGTATTTGATGAAATACAATCATTTTAGAGATGCTTACATATATTATTTAAATGATTGATGTGTGCAGTGAAGCAAGGGCCTCTCACATATGATATGTATCAAACTAATAGCAATAACTCTCTGGTATCATTTATCCATTTTAGCAGATTGAAAACAATCTCAGACTTGTGTTGATAATGACACTAAGAATTACATTAAATAAAAACACTAGTTATTATGTACACTATTTTTTACAGATCCTTGTTGATTTACTATGTTATTGACAGTTTGACTATTGTTATTTATATAGTTACTTTATATATTATGAAACAGTAGCACAGAAAATTTAAAGATCTTTCCCATGGTCAAGCAGCTAGTGGCTGCTTGAGATTCCTGTTTCTTCAGCAACACTTTGAAAACGATTTTCACAGTGGTCAAGAGCTTTGGTTTGAAAATCATAAGGACCTAATTAAAACTCTATTTTTCTTTTTCATCTTCTTTTTATATGGACTACATTTCATAACATATAACATTTTTTTACCCATCATCTATAAAGCAACATTAATACCTACCTCACAAGAAGTTATGAGGATTGATAAGGGAACATATATGAATATATCCACCATGGCTATGTAAACACATGTGGACTTTCATGTGTTGTGTGTGTATGTGTGTGTTCATACACCTATGAAAGAAAAATAATTGACATTTGAGTAGTAATACTATATGTGGGAAGTGTATTTAAATTTATTTTCATTTTCATGGTGAGTTTTGATTAATATAGGAGGTGACTTGGAGTTTATGGTGTCAAAGAATTAAACCTACAATTTGCATAATGTCCATGGCTTCAAAGCTTCATCTGGCAGATTTTCATATTTTCCAACTATGTTTAAAATAACTGGGATGCGGATAAAATGTTTTATCATTGCATTTGAAACACAACAAAAAATAAGTATTACATATTATGTAACAATCTTTAATAAGCACTAACGCTAATGAAACACTTACCTTTTATTCTTAAATGAAATTAATGATATTTGGGAATGTTTAGAAATAATTCCAACTTTAAAATGACCTTTGATTAGGAGATCCGATGTGAAAGAAATATCATACCTTAAACGGGACTATCCAAATATTCAATATCAAATCAATAGTTGTAATGAAAGTGTGTTTCTAAGTCAAGGCTTTCCTTCTAGACTAAAAACTCAAAACATTTCCAGAAAAATATTTAAGGTTTGAATTGAGAAGGATTTATTCAAAGCACTGGAGAACATTGCAGGTGGCTCTGGTCTCTTAGCCAAGAAAGCCAAGAAGCATCAGGTGTGGAGCAAACACATTCTCAAGTGTCATTTAACTCAGGAACAATCTTGCTCTTCAAAATGTGATCAGCAAAAATCATGTCCAGCTTGCACTGTGTGGGTATTTAAGGAGATTCTGCTAAAAGTTCTTTCTTAAGGAGAGATGCTTCTTCTTCTCACAGGAATTAATTATATCCTTTTATAGGAAGGTTTTTTCTTAGAAGCAGGTTGGAAAAACACCCATTTCTGAGTGGGGAATTGTATTCCCTACTCTAAGAATCGGAACACATGGATCCTCACTGCTCTATGTGAACCCGGGGTTCTAAAACACTTGACTTCCCTATGAATAGCAAGGCAACATAATTCAGGGTGGGGAATTCTGATCTGACTCCCTATGGCCTCACTTCTATTTTTGTATCAATGCTAAGCCTTTCCTGGGAACTGACTGATGATTGCCAGGACCTACAGCTATGAGAGTATAAACTTAATGGCAGCCTCTTAAAGTATTTGACTCTGTAAGCTGTTTTGAGCATTCTTCTGAGGAGTGCTGAGGTAAACAGAAAATTAGCTTCCCTGCTGGTTATTCCAGGGACTCACAACCTGGTCAGTGTGAAATACTAGGCACCATTACAAATGAAGAGTCATCTCCAATGAAGGAAGAGAGTTCCAGGCATTCCACAACTCTGTCATGTTGTATTGTTAATGTTTTTCGTTCCCAAATTATGTTTATTGAGGTAAAATAGGTTTAAATCTTTTATATGCCTCAAAGTTTATAGTTTGAAAACTACAAATGTAAACTCTGATGTCCTGCCCTCCACCAATGTCCCACAATTCTCCACCATGTCCCACAATTCTCCACCATGTCCCATTGGGCCCCTTCCCTCCCTCACTCCCACCCACCAATCTCCCCACAGTGCCACAGTTCTGTAATCAGATGTCAGGATGGTATTACTGATTTGGTTGTCTGACCCTTGGATATTTCTCTATTGTTCACATTACATGAGAGCCTTTAGAGTGTGCAAGTTTGGGTTTCTCTGAGTGTGCCTTAGTTTTACACTAACAGGACAATCCCCATTATTCTATACCTGTGACTCTGTCTTCCATCTTTGTGACTCCATACAGTTTTCTATATGAAGGATTGAATGGTTGAGTTTGGAATTCATGAGTCCTAGAAATTCCCCTTCAAATCATGGAGACACAGCTTTTTTTTT